TGCACCGATCTTAATTTCCGGTTTATCTTGAAAAAAAAAAAAAATTCAAAATCAACATGCACGTGATATAGGATAATTTTTTTTTTTCCATCGTTGACCTTTGACCCCCGTATCGATTTACGTTCAAAAAAAGAGGTGTGGACGTGTATATCCTTTTTTTTATGACTTCTTTTATTTTCATTAATTTCCATTCGAGGCGCGTCAGGAGTTATATGGGTTTACCGTTATATCCGTGCAAGATGGTTCCAACGGCTAAAAATATCCTTAAGGGTACCTGGAGATTTAAGTAGGACGCGATTGATTAAGGATGCAAGATCCGATCGACGCAGCAGTGTTACCGAGATAAATCTAATTTATATTGAAGTCGAGCCGATCGTATTGCATCGGGTAGTGACCTTGACTATTGGAACTGATGTATTTAGGAACACGGTTGGGGAAGCGATATTCATTAGGTATACCGTATACTGTATATACCAAGATATATATAGATATACAAGGATCATTAAATCTCACGCTCTAGATTTCATGCAGAAAGTCCAGTTTTTCGGCAGACAAGACGAATAACGAAGTAAAAAAAAAAGCTGCTACATCTCAGATATTTTATTCCGCAAGAATTCACGGAAATTTCATTAATCAGATTACGAGCAATCGTACCAACCAGTTGGTATTAAAAAGAGAATTTACGAAGACAAAATTGCTTGAGTTTCCGCCCATCGAAGAATAACGAAAAAAATGACTATACCGTCTTATCACACGCGTCTTAGGGAAACTTCGTATTTACCCGCGAAAGATGCTTTCCCGGCTTTCCCGTACGATTTCTCTGCTGGAAATAGAAAAAAAAAACGTGTCTATCGTGGCTTCTCGCTTATGGGAATTTCAATGGGCGCCAATGACATTCGGATCGGAGTGAAACGCGATAATTGGAAAGTCCATGGGAATAAGTTGGTGAAACCGAAGATTAATCGTGCCGTGCTTAATAACCCATAGTAAGTGGTAACGAGAAATAGAAGTCCCAGATTCATATAATAATCCAGTATCTTGGTATACATGGTTCAGAATAATGGCGAACACCTAATGGCTTCCGGTTAAGAAATTTAAACATTACGAAGTAGATAATTTCGTATGGGATCTGGGTTATGATAACAATTTGTCATTTTATTGTGGGCATAATAGAAAAAATTTTTTTATTAATTTTGGAATTTTTTTTTTTTTTTTTTTTTTTTTTTTTTTTTTTTACGTTGCCCGTGAAATTCTCTATGGCTATCTAATGGGACTCGATAGGCTTTTATCCGTGACGGCTATCGGCGCCATCGGACATCGCGCATTATTCTAATTGAATACAAGACAAACTGGGTGAACTTTAACGCATGATTTATCCCGTTTTAATTAGCCGGTTATTCTAGGCTCATGTCGATCCGTTCTTCCTAGGAATGTATCACGCTTTTCTGATTTATTTTAAATTGTACGTGTATATATATATATGTATATAGCTCCGTCGTTCGGCTCTGATTAACATAAATATGTCATATGTTTTTTCAGCATCTCCCATCTGACGTTTTTACAGATTAATTGTACCTTCGAATCACGTGACTCGTCGATGATTATTTAATAATTTTTTTTTGAATTTTCTATTTATTACGATATTTTGTTTGGATCTTGAAGCTAGTCTGATTTTTTGAAAAAAATCATTTGAATTCCATACGGACAGTCCGTCATTTAAATTCCTAGTGAACAGTCGGTTATCGAGTAGGCGAATATCCTGGATCCAAAACAGCTGGGCTCGAGTCATCCGGTAGAAACTTTTGAATTCTAGCTTAACTGTAATTTACGCCAGATACATTTTTTTAACATAATTTTACGGGGCACAGACGAAGCCAATAAACACAATGCCAAGTCGATACAGTTAAATTCGTGTAATTGGCGACCATGTAATTTTATACCAATTTTTTTTTTTTTTTTTTTTTTTTTTTTTTTTTTTTTTTTTTTTTTTTTTTTTTTTTTTTTTTTTTTTTTTTTTTTTTTTTTCATCATTACACCATTTTTCAAATGCCAATTAGTTTCTCAGACCATATACAGTTTTAGACGATACTACTGTTTATATGTCGTAAATTTATTCGGTTTTATTGTTTTCTCCGTTTTCCTTTTTTTTATACTATACAAATTATTTTGATGGTTCAAATTTCAAGCGTGTCTATCTACAACTGTACAGTCATATATATATATATATATATATATCTCGAAAGGATATCCGTTATTAGGTTTATGTCGCGTCCCGTTCTGTTACTGAGCTCGTTTGGCGCTGCAAACAAAAACCCCACGAGATAAAAAGCCAAAAAAATAAAACCGCCGAATCCGGCGACACGGCCCGTCGGCCATTGTGCATTGTTTGATTGGCTTATTAGCCGCCGCTTATTTGGCAGAAGGCAATTATTCTTTTATACTATCGTATAACCCAAACTCCCCGCAGGTATTCGGACCAGATCTCCATTCCCAAGAATCCGTGGTACCACCCACGAGGCACATCGGTTACGAACAACGGCGATTATTATTATTATCAATTTTTACGAAATTTACAAATCGTTAAGGGATAACTTAGATTTTTTTTACGAAATTTTTTTCAATTATATTTTCATGTAATCTGATTTTGATTTTTCTTGAGAAAAATTTTTTTTCCGTATAACACGAATTTTTGATAAATTTTCGCGGGTTCACCTTGACATAAAATCGATTCGAATTTCCCAGACTTAACGGGAGCCTCCACTGGTGCCCCAGGCTGTAAGATCGTCCGGGAGGTAGTTTTTCGCCCCAGTACTCCACTTACCACTTACCTACACCTTACTTACCGCCGTTCGCCACTTACCGATCTATGGCACGATTTATGGGACGAGAGTCGGCATAGATTCTCCCGTTTATCACGACCTTCCACGTGTGGTAAATTGGCATTTTTTTTCTAACGCTCGCTACGTCACGCCTTGGCCGTATCGAAATTATGGATCAATCGGCGCCATTGTATTCGACAGGTATAATAAAGATTGTCTGAATATCATTATTGTAGGAAGTAAAAAATAATTCCGAGGATAGGGCTAGTTTGGTCATTAAAAAAAAACATGTCCATGTCAAAATTAAAGATTATCGTTTTTATGTACTCGGGGAAGTTGGTAATACTTTTTTCTTGCGGTCCGCCATTTTTTTTTACCGAAGTACCTGGTTTGTTTTCTACGCAGGAATTCCTACTAGGGAATTCTAGGCGTCTGTCGTGATCCTGATGGAATACCAGGTCTGCCGTGAATTCGGATCGTGTTACCCAGGAGAACGTGTAGACGGTCGAGCCTTAGGAATTCCGAGGATTGCGAATAGGTTTAAACATTGGATTACACAGAATTCCGATAATTTGAGTATAAATACCTGATTTTATTTCGCAAAACCTTCCTCACGTCCAATTTTCAAAACTAAGATATAAATTATCAGATCTGAGAATTCTACTGGGAATTGGTAATAACATGGTTCTCGTATCCTCCGAGAAGCTGTCTGCTGACCATAAAAAATTTGCCGGAATTGTTAATCAATTTTATCTAAATCTTATTGGCCGTATTAAAATCTAATCGAAATACAGTTACGAACCGTTCGACCGGATGCGACTGTTATGCTTTTACTAATTAAAGATATATCTTATTTTTCAATCTATTTCCTGTCGACCCACCGACCTCGATCGAAGATTCAAATAATATACCGATACTTCAATTCCAAGCCAGTCGTCCACGTGTTTATAATATTTACGAATTTTAAAAAAACTATATTTTCTCACGCTTCAACTTACCCCAATCACTCGTTGCATCATATTTGTAACCAAAGTGCTAAGTATCGACAATAAAAGTAATCTGACAAAGAAAACCATAAACCACAAAGAAACATAGAGGGTCGACAATCAGCTAAGAAAATTGTCATAGGTGCATACAGTCAGGTGAGCCAACAGCCGCATGCCATTGCTCTAGGAGTAAAATCTTTTTCAATTCCAGTTACGGTTACTGCAATGCTCCTGTGCAGTGCTGCCAGTTGTCTGGGTACTGTTGGCAGGCCAGTTTGTATATATATATATATATATATATATAATAGGGGAACAATGCGCCATGAGGAAACAAGATGGTTTCGCCGATAGTCACATCTACTCCTGTTACCTGAAATCACGCAGTCCTGGCACATATGCGTGCATTAACATAGCTCAGCGGTTGCTCACGTTTATTGACAGTTTATGGTCAAGTATAAAGTTCACGACAAATTCAACATGCATTTAACAGCATGTATGTCAACGCACGTAATTCCGTTACGAGTAACATGAACGCAATCTATAAAATTATCATACAATTCCTATACTGGTAAAACGTAATTTGTCCAGATGCATAACGAGCCATTGTTCATACATGCTCCGTATAGAGAAGTCAATTCGATAAATTGATTCCAATCGTAAATACAGTTCTAACGTAATATATTGTTACGTATTTATATAACACAAGATATAATGATACACACGCATTAAGGACATTCGTTATGCATGGAATGAGCATGAGTTCGTCTTGGCTCGTTACACTCGTTTCTACTCCTCGTTACTTATACGGTATATAACATATAGGTGTATATATATATGCACTACATATTTATACATGAATACGTAAAAAGGGCGTGTCCCTATATGCATATAGAAAGTGCATTCACATGCCGATGCACTTACGGAGTATGCAACATGCATATCACGATGGTTCGGGGTTCGCGCCCAGGAGGGAGCACTTTTTTTTTTACGGCGGGACATTCGAACTACGAAAAAGTTTGAATCTGAAAAAGAATAAAATGGCGGAACTGTCATTAATCTTGTTGTAGTGCATACGGGGGTAATGAAATCGGTTCACCGACCCGTATTGCAACGATTCACCGGGACTGATGCATCCATTATGCTGGCATATAAGTGCATAGTGTAATCGTACGGGTATAATTTGCTCGCGCATTGTTCATCCATCACTGTAGCAGACACGCTTATTGGCAATAATTGATTCGGTTGTTATACTGTAGTATACGTGACACTGCCAGACGTCAAATATATACCACGTGTCGAATGCATTTTTAGGCAATAAGTGCACTTGGTGATGTTGCACGTTTAATTGAGATAATAATTATATAATTTTGCTTAAGTGTAATTACGGATTAATTGTATACATGTATATTATAATTATTGGTAGGATATACACAGAGAAATTTATTACTATAGATAAAATAATTAAATAATAATTAATGTCTGAATAATCGTTTCGAGTATTAATGTAAACGTAATTGAGCAGCACTCTTCTCACGTGTTTAATTAATTCTAATGGAATGTTCAATGATACTTTATTAATTGACATTCAGTTCTCAGCTATCTTTAATAGAGTCGTTATATGTATAGCTGGTTACTGTGGGAATTAATTATGGCTATTCCGAAAGGTAGGGATCTGCAATGTATAATGTGTTATTGAAAAGAGAAAATAGTTTAATACGTACAGGGCCGGTTTTCGATTAATTTCCATAAATCGTCGTGCGAGTCTTCCGATTGTGGATACAGAAAAAAATTTTCCAAGAGGAATCTCACACTTTAACTCCATGTGTGGACGTGCCGTTAGAATCTTATCGGTTGGTTAGTTAATTTAACGTCGATTATATTACACTTCGTTAGTTGAATAGGCAGACTGGAAATGACCAAAAAAAATCCGTCCTCTCATTCATACAAAACTGTATTGATAATACGGTGAATTTTTTTCTCGTCGTTCGCCGTGGACTGCAAAAAAAATTTTAGATCATTAGTCGTACAAGGTTCACACGTGATACCGTATTATTTGAATATGCTAAACACTGTGGTCTTTTCTCTTTGGGATACCGCAAAGACATATACTGATACGTGTTAGGCACGAGTACTGTAGAAACGTGTAAGTTGAGGTTAGTCTAGCAATTTCATGTACCAACCTAAGAGCTATCACGAGTTACTGGAGAATGATGTATCACCACTAGAAATGAAAAATATCTCAGACAGATCTAACCCTTAGGATTTATTGGCGAAGAAAGTGTCTTGGGCGTTAGACGATCTTGGAATTTCAAGCTTGTACCTTTTTTTTTTGAAATAAAAAATTTCATACTTCTCAAAGACAGTCAGGTACCTCAGTACCTACGTGTTCCAGGTCAATTATGATTACTATCATGATATACTTTTGTAGTCTTCTGTAACCTTAACCTCCTGGACCAACGCGGATCTTCCTTGTAATATCTTCGACGTGCTCTAATCCTGTAGACGTAATTTTTCAACCTGCAACATATTGCACGTGATTTATGTATTGACGTTTTTTTTTTTAATATGCGATCTACCCCTATGCCTATAATGATATTTATTACTGTATCTACAAGTCACTGTATATGTGTAGATATTGTAGCAGTACAGTGTATACATACCAGGGTTCGTGTTTCCAGGCATTTTATCTTTGGCAAGGATCCTCACCATTCTCAAGTAATTGATTCGTTTGTTAGTAATAATAACGAGAAGTCCTGGCGAGTAAAGCAATTGAACGAGTGGCGTTGCTGAGCCGTGAATCGAAATTGCTATCGCTTGGATGAGCAGAATAAAAAGGATCTCAAAATATAAAGAGAGGAGAAGAAGTAAAGGATGATCTTATCTCGTCTACCTTTGGCTCCCTCTACCCTTCTATCTACTACTGACTCTTGTATTTCCTTCGTCGGGTCTAACTGTACGGCACGAAGTTATTATTTATTATACAATCCGGCCCGGAACGAGTGTAGTAAATCCAGAGTGCTGTTGACCCGACGGCCGTTGGACCGCGACCAGCATGCACTGCTCCGATCTTATACCTTTCCGTACTTATTTTCTCCTTTCCTTCTTCTTATTCTTCCTTGCTGCTATCTTTTTCTTCGTATCAACCATTTCTGCCACTCTCTATTGACCGAAAGTTGCGATGCGTTTAACGTCGATACGATCGGATAGCCAAACCGTTGTGCAATTAAAATATAGCTCTGTTGATACAATCGAGAGACATTTTTATCTACCTAGGAAAACTTCTTTACCGACAGTGATATCGACTGAAATAATATTAAACACGTGAGAAAGTTTGGTGAATTTTTCTAAATGAATAAGTACTACGTAAAATGGTGGATAAAAAAAGTCACGTAATATCGTTCGGTTCCTTTGTGTATTGTCTCGGCCACGCCTATAATTTAGCACTTTTGGCAGTGATCGTTTCTTTGTGCTTTTCTCTTCCCCTGTAGGTGCACTTATTGGTCTTATTTTATGTATTGGCTCATTACTCGTAGGCCACTGGCTGATAAGCGTTATGAGAAAGTAATTAGAGTACACGTCAAAGTCTCGTCATATTTTGCCACCTTTTTTCTCCCTGTGAGTTAGTGAGTGTGACTTAACGGCATGACAATGGCGAGGTTATGTGTGTGTCTTCTTGACATAACTTAAGGCGTGAGACGATTGCAGGGCTGAGATAGAACGGGGAGATAAAAATTGGTGAATCGCTCGTAAACAATACCAGCAGCCAGTTTGGATTGGGTCTTTGTTTGAAATTCGTATAATGGCGAATGACGGACCCTGTAGTCCTGTTGATGGGCCAGCGATGACTCGACGCTTCAAAAACGAAAGCAATTACGCGGACAAGGCGGTTTTCAATTATCGCCCGATTACACGGGTATGTTTCCGCGAAGCGACGGCACCGCTGCCACTTTAATTGACAACACGCACCATAAATCCTTCGGGATTCGATCTGAGTCGGTGACAGGTGAATTAAAAAAAAAATAAAAAAATTAATAAGAATCAGAGAATGGATATGTGGAATTGAAATTGATTGTAGAAATGAATTTTTGTATATGTGCCGCCATTTTATTTCACTCGTCAAACGTATCGTTGATTACGAAATGTTCTTTATCGTTCCGTTATTTTAATCAGGTATTCATTTTATCTTTAATTACTTCATTTTTACAGAGTACGTGGGTGGCGCGTGTCCTCGGATATGTCCACCGGGCGGAGAAGCTGTTTGCGGTAGCGATGGCGTTATTTATGCGTCGCAGTGCGAAATGCGGAAAAAAATGTGCGGAAAAGGTAAGAATTTTATTTACGTTTGTCATTACTCTACACCCCTAGTTGTCAGAAATACATATTTCTAACAATTTTTTTTTGTTTTCGAACCGTTAAAAATCGGCATCACATAAAAGCGACGGCAATGCTTTGTAAAATTTTTGATACACGACGCATTAACGATAAAATATCGATTTCTCATTAAAGGCAACGTAATAAAAATGAAAACGAAGCTTTTACTATTTCATAATAAAATGATTTATTGATATATCGCGTGTCGGTATGTAATCAGAGAAAATGACAGTTCAAACAAACCCGCCATACGGTCTCGTACAAGATGGCGTGAAAAGGAATCTTATGAGAAACGCCAATTAAGTCTTTACAGTGCAATTACAATTATCCACGCGAGATACGTGTGCAAAAACGTAATTGCACTTTTTCTTTTACCATATCCCCATGACTACCCATAATTCTGCACAGTACAACTGCAGAGCTGTGCATCTTGAAGGATAACCTAACCTAACCTCTTTTTCCTATTTAACGCTCACCGTCATTTGTTCAGGCGTCACGGTGGCTACGGAGAAGACTGCCTGTCTGAGGTCATCTGGCAGCAAGTGCGAGCATCGTTGTCCAGGTGATCAGGACCCCGTTTGTGGTACTGACGGACGTACTTACCTGAACAAGTGCATGCTGAGAGTAGAGATATGCCGAGTTGGCATAGAATTGTCTCATCTTGGTCCATGCAACAATATTTCGGCACATCGAGAGAACTGTCCTGTCTCTTGCGAATTTGCACCACTGGACGGTCCCGTTTGCGGAAGCGATGGGAACGTCTACAAATCCACGTGTCAGATGAAATTGTTGACCTGCGGGTACGAGAGTTCTTGTTAAAAATGTTGCAATTAACTATATCTGATTTTAAACATATAATTTGTTTTACTTTTCATTCAGACAAGGCGTCGTACGTACCAACAAGAAGCATTGTCAGACTACAAGACACTGTCGCGAGTCCTGTTGGAGGGGTGCCAAACCAGCTTGTGGCAGTGATGGCATCTTGTATTCAAATACTTGTAAAATGCGAGCGAAGAATTGCGGGTAAGACTACTTTTACTTTCGAAACTGTACTTGATTCCCAGTTTCGTTTGTACATTTTCACTTAGTTTTTAATTCTGGGTTACTAGCTAAACTAGTTTGTTGACTTCAGGTTTTTTTGGGGATTCTCACTTTCTTAGCAATTAATCTACCTCAATTTCACTGTACCATGAAATTCTCATTGTACTCAACACTCTCATTTTACAATTTCCCAGCAAGCACGTGTTCGAAGTGCCAATGTCATTCTGTGTGTCTCGCGAGAGAACAGCAGGAGGTGCAGCGACTGCTTGTCCGCTGGGTTGCCAGAACGTACCGGAAGTGCCGGTCTGTGGATCGGACGGTAGCATCTACAGAAACGACTGTGAGATGCAGATGTTAAATTGTGGGTAGGTAAACAGAGCAGAAAATAATTGTAATAAATATCAAATAAGATACGTCAGTCCCTAATCATTAAATTACCATAACAGCCAATCACGCAGGAAGGTAGCATCCGTAGATTTTGAAAAGTGTCGTCCACGTCTCACCAAGTGTTTAAAGCAACAAATCCGTTGTGGAAACGAAGTGGATCCAGTATGTGGAAGCGATGCCAACACGTATCCCAATCAGTGCCATCTTAACATCGCCATTTGCCTGTAAGTATTTTTCCCATTCAAAAGTCATCATTAAATTTCACCAAGACCAGACAACATACTTCGTCCCATATACGTCAGCTAGTGATCTTGACCATTAAATTATCCAATCATCCTATCTCGCGTACCACTTAAATCCCAAGTATCTTCTTACAGGAAAGGAATCCAGATGGCTCACGTTGGCGAGTGCACGACCTTGAAGGAGACAGAGCACTGCCCCGAAGACTGTGCTGAGGTTCTAGAGGAACCCGTCTGCGGAAGTGATGGGAACGTTTACAGGTATATAAAAAGCAAAGACTATCTAGACAACTGATGCTCTTTTTTTTACCACTGACAATTATTTTATCAATCTAAGAAGCAGGGGTCAAACACGTGCTGAAGATTGACTCTCATTAATCAACTTTACATGTAACCTCTACACATTGTATTCTATAGATAGAAATGGCGACTGATCCATGACTATGTCTATAGCTTAGACAGCAATAACCGTGAAATTAATCAGTTGATCAACAGCATAGTCTATTATGGCATGTAATTTTCTATACAGGTCTCTGTGTCAGCTAAGAAAGGAAACCTGCGGTCAAAGAGTGGTACCGGTACCGGCACAGCATTGTCGCACTACAGCACTGTGCAACCAGGTCTGCAGTGGCGAGAGACAATTTGTCTGCGGCTCCGACAACAAATTGTACAGGAACGAATGCGAGATGAAGAGAGACAATTGCGGGTGAGGCACTTTACAATTTGTAGAAGAATAATTAAGACGCCGGACACACCGGACATAATTGCAAACGCTGTGTATTAATTCCGTACAGAAAACACGTTTACGTGGTACCGATGAAGAGGTGCGTCCAGGGTTTTCAATTTCGTGGCTGTCAGAAGATATGCCCGCCATATTACGATCCAGTTTGCGGAACCGACGACATGACGTACAGCAACGAGTGCTTCCTGGAGATTGAAAATTGTCGCAGTCGAAGTCTCGTTACGAAAAAGTATCATGGAGTATGTGGCCAGCCGACGGAGGAACCTAAGAATTATCTGTACTGAACGAAACGTTAGCTCAATAGTCTTGGAACACGAGGACAGTGGTACCATCTGCAAGAAATTCTTTTTTAAATACAGACTCACCACCCTCGTATAACGACGGGATCAGGAGCGATGCCATTTCTTTTTATTTTTAAAGGAAATTCCTCCTACAGGACATTCAAAGCCTGACGACTGAAGAAACAAAAAGGAAAACAGTGCTTCGCTAAAATTTTATTATCATTACCGATCTTCGTGCATCCTACGAACCTGCTGATTGGAAGGATCTGATTTGATTAGGCTGTAATATTGGAATCGGTCAATCAGCGTTGATTTTAAAAAATGCCTCTGGGACATCCAACGCTGTGACGTTATGTGATTTAATTAATATTGCGTAACGTCGATATTCTTCGTAGGCATCTTTTCTTTTCCTAATATGAATTTTATCGATAATTTATTCTCCGCCTATTTCTTCATAATTATATCGAAACGTCGTGTCAATGCTCGCAGCGCACATTATCAAATCATTAATCGAATGATCGAAGAGGAGAATCGCGTTATGTATTATTAAGATTGTCCATCCCTCCCACCCCCCCCTCCCAACTACCCCTCTCGCTACTCAATAGCATCCTTTATCTATATACCTTAAGGTCCTGTCGCTGTTCACGCAACGCACAACTGTTATTTATTCTAGTTAAGCCGTAGAATCGATCTTCATTGCCCAGTAAGAAAAAATAATGTAGACGCATCTTTTTTTATTCGCCTTTCCGCATCTTCTACGTAATTTTGCTAGGAAGTATCTTTATCATTGCGCAATTACGATCACTATTATTATTGATAATATAAATATTATTGATTACTAGCTCTTAGAATTATTGCTACACAGGACGTATTGCCGTTATAAGGAAATATTCCATATTCTGTCCTTTTGATATGTGATGTGTGTTCATATTATTATTATTATTATTATTATTATTATTATTATTATTATTATTATTACTGTCATACATTTATTTATTATCAAACACGTGAGTACCCACTTCTTTTTGTATCGAGTTGTATTAACATTTTACGTGCTTGTCAATAATAAATCATACGCCAATATTTTAATTAATAATTCTTTTTTGGAGTATTATTAATTTTTATGACATAATACCGGAAATACCGCTGCAAGGTCAGTTTAAATTTAATAAAGTTTTTGGCATTATCAAATGATAATTTTTTCATCGGCAAAGGAAGCGTTGTTCCGATTATTATAAATTATCTTCTGTTGCGTCCGTTTGACGAATTATCAAGTGACAGTTTATAAGGAGAATCAAAGTCAGTAGCAATTTGTTCATCATGCGTGTCGCCCTGATATTTGTGTTTCTCTGCATTGTGAATAATTTGGGAATATCCCAAGGATTTTGTTCTAACAATATAGGGGACCATGGTAAGAAATTTAAACTCTTAGTACTTGATGAAATTTCTTTGTTTATTTTCTTTTTTATCGTTTCTCACATTGTCAGATTCTGGATCATGGTTAAAGTGCTCGAATACGAATATTCAGGAGGCTCTAAGCGCAGGAAACCTTGCGTTCTCAGGCATTGTGATTTCACATTCAAACATTTCAACAATCGGACCATATGCTTTCACGAAATACGCCGGCACACTGAAAGAACTGAATCTATTGACATGCGGTATATCCAGTGTGTCGCCAAATGCGTTCAAGACATTGTCACAACTGAGAAAATTAAGTTTGGCTTATAATAATATTACCGTGGTCCACCCCGAGTGGTTTGACGATTTGATATGGCTGGAGGACTTGGATTTGTCATTCAATAATATAGGAACAATCCCGTCGAAAGCATTCGAAGGAATGGCCAACGTTCGCAGCTTATCTATCAGACATAATAAAATGACGTGCTTCAGAACTGCTGATACGTTTGCAAAAATGAAGTCTCTCAAGGAAATTCATATTGAAGGGAATCCCTGGGAAATGAACTATCGCGGAAAGGTAATTGATACGTTCCTCTTATTACTTTTTATTAATAAATGTATTAATATACACAATTCTCATCGATATTACGTACCTTAGATGACAAGATGGTTCCATGACAAGAAAATTAATTACCACGTCAATACTAAAACAATGGAACATATCCTGGACGAAATACTCTGGATTTGTAGTAACAGGGAGTCTAACGTATGTGGGAGTGAAAATCATGTCCGGGATTGTTTTGCTATTCTCTTATTAAATCAATTAAGATCAGCCGAGCGAACATCAAATAGTTATGCACTTGTCGAATCGAAATGTATCAGAGAACGAAACGAGTTTACAACGTGTGTTAGTCGCAGCACTGATAACAAAGTTACCACAAATGGTAAAGCAGTGAAAATGCTTCTTTCTGGATTATGGGCAATGAAATCGTCGTAATTGATATTATGTAAAGCTAATCATTACATATATTACATGCTATTGTACTATTGATACAATAAAGAGACATCATAAGTCAAAAGAAGACGCTGATAAAAATGATAAGCACCTATGAACTCTGATTTTATTTCTTTTGCTTTTGTTTCTCAAGGGGAACGATGGGGCTGAAGTTGTTCGCGAATATCGGGTTACTTAATTCTGAAATGTCAAGCCGTGAAAATTTATTTGGATGAGGCTTTCTTCCTTTCTCTGAAACTTCCTCGAACAGGAGAAGTCACAGTCTTGTTCGGGTTAACGGAGTATGTAATAGCTGCTTTCATTCATGGATGGTAACAATTTCGTTGACGAGTTATCAAGTCAGGCTCGCGCCGAATAGACAGAATCTTTAGCTTCAGTCAAACACTTGACCATACTTACTGGATTCTATTATAAAAATTTATTTTCATCAGAATCTGGTAGATGGCGCAGCGATCAGAGGCTCGAAAGACGATCGAAGAGATTATCATAGTGAGAAGGAAAAATCCATCAGATGTCGCCAGTGTCTAGTTTTATTGACAAGCTCCGGTCAAACATGGCGTCTAGTGTTTACGACAACTGATCACGGACGATCGAATTCGCGATCGCCCGATGCCCTGGAACTATTTACGGATTTTTCCGCAGTCCGTTCAACAGTGCGTCCCACGGTGCGTCTGTCGCGTTAGTCTCGCATGCGTAACGCGTTCGTTACGTAAGATAAAGTTGATTCTATGTGACCGCGAAACAGTGATAAAGAACGGAGCGGTCCCATCAGCTGGTGGATATCTGGACTTGCCTGAGTAAGCTGATTGCATTTTAAGGACATCACGGTCGCCGTTAATAGCGTAAGTAATATGAAAATCTTTTTATTTCATTATCTGACAATTATCATTGCCAAAACGCGATACTCTCGCGCCGTTTAATGCGGCACTCGGTCGATTTTGACAGCGGGAGGCCATCTTGGATTCGTTCAGTCACGCTGCGAATCGCGGTTATGCGAATCGGATTACATAAAATGCTTGCGTTACGTTACTGTAGCTGAGATAATTCCTGGAGGACCATAAATAACCTCTTCCTCAGTGGGTTGAGCTGTTCAATTTTAATCTTCGATCTAAGTCGCCGAATTCTTTCGAAATAACTACAGATCGATTTCACCCTAGATTCCAGGGATGAATTTTAGGGATGCTGTGAAAAGGCCGAACCAAGTTAAGAAGCTGTAAAAGCATTTGGAAATAGATAGCCTTAAGAGTGCGAAGCTATATTGATAAGAAGCCATTGATTTTTTATAATCGTAACAAAGAAAAATACAAGACCATCGTGTCACAATATTTCAAATAGCGCGTGAAGCATCGAATTATTATTTAAAATATCCAAAATTTCAATTGGCACGTAACCTCTGTACTGTTTACCCCTATTGTGTACGACAATAGAAGACAGGAATTAGTTTAACAATAACTTTTCAGAACCTTTAGACACTGTCTGCTTGTCACTTAGCATCAGATCCGTGATATGAAATACCATTGTCTAATGGACAGAGACCTACAGTAGCCAGTTGTATATTATCCAGCAATATTAAGATTCATCTTATCTTATCGTACAGCTCATAGATAATTAAACGGGCACGACCGTGAATCGCCGGTTAAAAACGTCGATCCAGTTTCCTTTGAGTGTAAAGTGTTGGGGCGGAGGGCGTAGGAGGAGAAAAGTGAATAGGAGGATAACAAAGGAAAATGGTAGAGGGTACAATGGAAGGAAGCAAACAAGAGAAGAAAGAGAGTGGCGTAAGAAGTCGATAGTGTAAAAAGGAGAGCGAGCGCGATGCTGAGAAATAAAGTAAAAGGAATAAAGAGAAGAAAACAGGGACGACACTGCTATGAAAAGAAGCAAGAGAGGCCAAAGCGAGATAGAAGCCACCGGTTTGGAGTTACGAAACGAAAGCGCACTTTGCTTTTATTAAACGACAAGTCGCCGGCTGCTACGTGACTCACTCGGCCAATAAAATAAATATCCTTGCAAGTTGACCCGCAGATTGGGATAGCGCCCCCAATCACCGAGGATTGTCGTCGTCTGGTCGTTCCTTTTCATTGGGCCCTACATATTCAAAACCGAGTCCCCTTTACTTATCTGGCTGTGCATTGGCGCTGCTATACGTTGTTTGATGCATCGGCGCATAGCTGGTGAAACGTGGGCAACGATGCGATCACTTTGAAAATTCAGATGATTAACGCTCCCAACGCTCCCAACGCTCTTTCCTTCGTCGCGCGCCGTCGGACCTGAATATTAACCCTCGAGCCGGATCTTTAGTTCTTTTTACGCGATAGAGAAAAACACACCCAGCTTAACCCTGAACTTAAACCGACTTCACTTGCGCCAGACAAGCTTTATTATGTGCATTCATATCGTTAGGATTTTATTATTTTAGACGGACACTCGTCATTTACATTTTCTCATTGTTACATGCGTGTGGGGGATAATTGTTTATTATTATGTTTATCCATCTCTCGTTCGCCTTTTTCAAATACGGCTGAATTACCCGCTCGTCGTCATCTTCCTTCTCGCCCTCCGGGTCGTACGCGTACAGTCGCGATTGGGGCGCCTGCGAGGCTCTCGCGTCCTGGAAATTTGACTCGTCGTCGTTAGAGTTCGCTGCATTATCGACGGAGCTTGTCAGAGTCTTGTTGACTCGTTCAGAATCCGCGAATTTCCATGTGGCCGACGACTCGAGACTTTCTCCGCGCTGGCTCGAGTCCTTCTTATTTTCCTTGCCAGACGTTATCGGTTTCTCTACATTTGAGGTTACGGTGTCACTTTCGATTGCTTCGTGTAATAAATCGCTCCCGACCGCAGTCGTTGCTTCGGCGGATTCCATTACTTCGGGTGACTGTCTCATATACGGAATTAGTCTCTTGTACAAAGATACGATTATTGGTGGAACGGATTCTTTTGATTTTTCGTAATACTTGACTCCTACTCGTTCCTTTGCGTCCTGCGTATCTGACGGCGTTGACTCCTGATATAATCTTGGTGCTTCCCTTCGACTTGGTGTTGAATAGTCTGTCGCGATAATTCTTGCCGTATCAGATTCCTTGTGAACTTTGGAAAATTCTTCTGTGCCGTTTACCGTATTTATTTCCGTTGACGAATTTTCGCTGCCTGCAACGTCCTCGGAGTTAATGGAAATATTCTTCTTGGTAAGAATATTTTTCCGCGCGGCCATCTTGCAAAAATTTTCGCAGTACTTCCTGTCTCTCTTGTGCGTGTCGCATTTTTCTCCACTTTCATTATCTTCGTTACTTTCTTTCCCTCTCGCGTCTTTATTAACGTTCTTAGTCGATTTCGTATAATAATGCGGTCTTGATTCTTCCACAGTTTCCTGTATTTTCCTACGAGAATCCGCACTGTCGGTAACGTCGGTTACGCGGATCACGTGACGGCCGTCTTCGTTAGGATTTGAATTTTTCGCCATGAATTTCTTGAGCGTCAATGGTGAAGTGTCGAAATGTTTACTAACCAATTCCACATTTGATTCCTTACTGTTTTTCTGCGTATCTCCCGTATCATACGCTTCCTCATTTTCATTTAACCATTTTTCCTCGTCTTTTCCTTCCGCCTCTACGTACTCCGAATATATCGTAGTAGTTTCGTCGTGAATTCTGGTTTCTCGTTCCAACTCCCTGCCGATCGTCATTTGACAAGCCTATGGCACAGAATTTAATACATTCCAGTGACGTAACGTGTACACAATTTTGAAATACGATAGTGCAAATATTTTTTTTTCTCTATGGCAGTGTCCTGTTCAAATATGACATAGATCAGAAATTCGATAAGGTAACAGGAATAGCTTGAAACTGATATATTTTGACACTTTAAACATTGTCCGTGTCTCTTTATTACATTGAAGTTAATAATATTTGAGAATTTTTTTTTTCATTAAAAAAATATACAATCAACTTACCAAACCGGCGATAAGAGCAATAGACAATGAAATAACGTAAGACGTCATTTTCTTAGCGTACAAGGTAACTGTCTATTATATTTTTCCAAAATACTTTAAAAGCATACGGCACGCGAAATCTGAATATCTTAATCGAAAACCTCTCCTAGACTGAATGATGAAGTCGGAGAGAATCGAATAGCATAAATACACAGAATTGATATTCGATGGAATAATAACTATGTTTTCGTTAATTCGTTATTTTATGATGCGTTCTTTACAGCCTCGACTTTATGTCCCAGTATCATTGTCCAGCCACTATATATCCAGTTCCTCGTAACACGAGCACATCAAACGTAGTACAATACAATTCATATAATACAAATTATATATATATATATATACAGGTTAGGGTAATAAAAATTATTGATATTACCCGGTTCTCGGATATTGCAATCAGAATCGAACGATCAGACAACACGGTTCTCAGGCTCTTCCGACAGGAAAGAATTTACCAATCGCTATGATAAAAATCTTTGAATATTTCTTCTGTCTGTCTGCCTTATGGCACCACTGATATTTTTTTGACATACTGTACAAACAAAGCGACGCATTATCTTTTGGTCGCATACCGGTTCATCCCATAGGAAGTGCAACTTCTGTACGTTATTATTGTACAGCTTGCAGTTTATCTAACGCGATAATATCCTTATCTTATCTCTTACCCTAGTCCTGCATGTGCACCGGGAGGTAGCCTAACCTAACCCAACACAGCATATTCCATAGAGTGAAAAAACTAAAAGGATTTTATGGTGATTACAGTTTTTACAATTTTCTCATAGAATATCGTAGAATCGTATCGGACATTGCTATTCGGGTATCACGTATTGATAAAAAACGGCAATTGACTTGGAATGGTATCGTGTCGATATTTTTAAGCACCGTATAGATAAGGAACGTAAAATTAACGGATTTACTTGTCGTGAAATTTTGCTTGGCGCCATAGCTCTATCGAAATGCAATTAAGTGTAACACGAATTATCCGGTCGGTACTGTATACAGGAATAACGTGTAGTCATCGATGTCTTGATCCGTTGGTCATGCAGTTTTGGAAATTTAATCGGGCTAATTGTTACCGACGGCGTTGACTGAATCTTCTATTACCGACGGAGCCATAAGATTCGTCAGGCTTCGGATTTGCAGCTGGATTTTAATCTTTTTTTTTTTCAATTTACTCTCTGCAGCACAGCGGGTTTTCAGTGGATCAAAATTGACTCGTAGGAAAGTACGGGGGAAGATTGTGCAGCGTAGCTTAATGGAGTTGTGAAATCAGTCGGGTGTAATATCATTCTTTCTATACCGAGCGATAATAGGCGACTGCATTAAATTGCTTGGTCGGGAGCAGTCAGGTCGGCTAGTCTATATATATATACACCTGGTAGTTAACATCCACCTTCGTCAGGCACCATCATCCCTCCTAACTACCTTCACTGGTACAGTTTACGTCTCTACCTTCTTGCAGCTTCTACTGCAGCGTCCGCCGCAACGACCATCTCTCCTTTTTCTACTTATTCTCTCATGTAGTTTCTTCTCTGTCGCCCTCTACCTTCTTCACTTTCTGCTTCTCCTTCTCTTCTTCAGGATAGCTGAGAGTACGTGGCTCCTGGCTGCTTCGTGAACGGAAAGCCGAGAAACAAGAGTGCAACGAGCCTGTCTTGCGCAGCTATTCAGACATTCAGGCCACTTATTACGTTCAGCTCTCCTGTTCTCCTGGTGTACATGGTGTCTTGTATTATTTTTTTTCTTCCTTGCCCTTTGTTCCTCGCCTCCTGTTCTTTTTTATTCCGTTTCCTTAATCCTCTGCAGGACCGAGACTATTCATCAGTTTTGCAAAACCCACAGGTACGAGAACCCACCCTCCACCCTCTCCACCCTCTCGAACCTATCAGGTAATGCAAGGGGGCTCTTGCTCCTTGTAGGTCACTGAACTTGACCTTACTTTATACTGTCTAGCCCGACAATGCCTTATCGATCTCTATGCAGCACTAGGAACGTCCAGGTAAACATCGACCTGGTCCTCTCGCGTCCTACACGCTTTTCTCAGAGCTTCAATCAACAGGCACATCCTTTTTAGAAAGTTAAACTCGCAAATTGGTGTAAAGTGGTCGGAGACACGTGGCGATATGTCGCGCGATGCCTCGTCGTGGGTGTCGGTTTACAAATATGACTCAACCCGAGAAGGCACCGACGTGGGCTTAGGGGTACATTGAGGAAATTAAGAGCTGCATCGAGACACTTCGGAGTAATAATAACGCCACGACCGGATACACAGTATGTTATGATCTCGTTTAGTAACGCAAATGACAGGTAGACTATACAAACGTCATTAGAGAACGTCCATCTTTCGTTTCCATGCGCAAAGTAGCAGACGAAGTCCGTCTTGTTTTTTTTTTTATATAAATCTGCAGCGGTGCGGCTGGTTTTCGAGGTAGCCAGACTTTATGGTGTTCTCTCGAGGCTTTAAATCACGTAATCGCTCTTATCAGTCACGGTTAGCAGGAAAACACATGGAATTAAAGGCTTCCATTCTCGCGTTGCCCTAAAGCCAAGCGTATACTTGGCAGCGTGTTTCCTCCGGCAGATAAGCATTGTCTGCGCGTGGCGCGCATCAGCGTACGTCGCGCCACTGGCGGGGTGCATGCGCACTAACGCGTAAACAAACTCTGTCGCGGACGAAACGAACGTTACTCTACAGCGTCCCTTTTGTCGCAGGCTAAGCTACGGTTATATTTCGGCGGACCCGCGAAGACACGCGTAACGTGAATTTTCGTGGAATCGTTGGAGAATCTTACGCCAGGCCATTTGGTAATAACACTTCAAACGGCTTTCCCGTCCTTCGTTGTCAAATGGACAACATGGCCGCCGGACGATTTCGACGCGACGTTTCTCTGTGTTCCGGAAAGTTCAGGATGATTTATTTCCAGCTGTGTCATCGTTAATCGTTCCTTGATCTCCCTCAGGATACTGGTACGTACAGTAGCGACAGGCTCGAGCTGCCGTCACGACAAACTAACCTAACCAAACGCTGTCTGTTGTATCCCCGTGTAACGTGCATGCCTGAATTAATTTCAACCGGTAAAATACAGCGTGTAACGTTCAACTGTCTTTATCATGCGATACACTGTCCGTCGTTATAGTATACCTATGTGTATGTATTTCACTAACCTCCCTCGCGTGCACACGAGGCAGCATTAAATTTCAAGAATAATTCAGTTACTCGTACCGTCAGGAAGTTCAAACGTATCGGCAACGCCGGCTCACGCTTGTCAGGCCACTAACAGCTGTGTTGACACGCGCAAGCTTCTTTCTGTGGGATCTAGTGGCCCAGAGACGTTGCACTTTTTTTTTATAATTACAAATACCCTTTCTTTCCTTTATCTCCTCTAATCTTCCCCCATCCGCTTGAGACTCACGCGTGTGGTCCGACAGTTGACCAATTTATTTTACACGCCAGCCTCCTGCAAAGTTAACCCCACGTCGATCGAATTTTATACTGACCCCCCAAACATAAGGCTCGTCTGGGCCCTTTCAGGCCCTGTCCTCACGCACTACATATCTATACCCTGTGAATGATATAGGTATCCTATGTCCCTAGTACAGTATTGTCTTTTCTTCTACAAAATAACATTCGTCATCGACTTTCCTCACGACTCCTAATACTTCCTGCGACGCTCTACGTGCTCGTGTAATAAAATGGCTGGACGAAGGAGAAACGATGTCCGGTCTTGCGCTAAAATCCACCAGTTTCGTACTTACCGTTGCTTTTTTTTCTTTCCCCACTATCTCATATTACTCATACGTAGACCGCCTTTGGAATCGAGTGCCCAGAGGCAGCTCTTCGATTTCACACTGAAATTCAACACTCAATCTTCTTTTCCTTATACTTAACCTCGTTAATTCAATTGAGTATACGTATTTTATTTTTTTAGGAATTTTTTTTTCTCGCCCGGAATACTTCGTCATGGTAGTACAGAAGTACCGAATGGCCCTGTTATACCCGTCGGTTTTCCACCAAAGCTTCCTGCACCTCGCTGTATACGATAGTGGCTGCCGTGACCTTGGCGTGTCTTACCACAAAAATTAGTCAGCCTCTTATCGGGCCGCTCGTTAGGCATCTCTAGACAGCGTCGATTAACGACTCTCATTTATTATAAATTTAATTATTTCGAAAGTATCCACTAGCCCGAACGTACCTTTCTGCCGAACGTGAATAAAATGGCTTTTCGAATAACTCCCAGCCATATTTATCACACACAGAATACATCTATATAACAACGTGCGTATTGTAAGTATCAGAAACGTATAACGGATCAATCTGTACAGTTATTGACCAACGTTAATAATTATTATTTCTCGGCTCGGACTAATGCATTTAATCGGACATGCTTAAACGTACGTGTATTTTCAGTCTGTACGTATCGTATGGGTACCGTAGGACACATATGGCTGCCCATGAGAACACTATGCTTTTCTGCAGTAACCATGTGCTTTCTCTGACATTTTATAAGAATCCCATTTAGATAGTACAGTCCCAACGGGGTATTAACTTAATGCATCTTTTAATTAAATTTTATTTCCTCTTCACGTACCGACTTACCTCAAGCCTGTCTACCAGTGCCAGCATGCGTCCACGTGTCTCAAGCGTGCAGGAGACTTATGATAAACAGAAGCGTCACTTTAGGTAGTCATACATTAAGAGAAAATATGTAATGAAATTACATACAGGAGTTTACATATATTCATAAGGTATATCTACCCACGTTAAGCAGTCCTGGATCCACTGGGGTGGCAACGCCAGGGAAAAACGTAAAAGGTGTGCTTTTAACGTGACACGTGTCCACCTATGTACAGTGCGTGCTTGCTCCGACGAAACATACCCGGAGGCTTTGAACGAGAAAAAAATTTGTATGTTCGTCCGCGACACGATTATCGCATGTTCCAAATACGTATGTGATAAGGTATGCTCAGTATGTGGTTTTATTCGATAAGTCGACTCTATGTATATATATATTAGTCATATGGAGTGAGTGGTGTGCTACATACGTAAATTTTGTAAGTGAAATTCGACTGTTTATACTCTGGACTCAACCTCCCTCCAAGGGTGGGGTTGGACGTTTATGTATGCGTGCACGCATGTCACGGGTAAAAAGCGTGCATAC